TTCTAGGAAATTATATTCTGTGCCATGATGTGTATGCCAGGGTTCTCTGGCAGTTACTCTGAAGATCTCTGGGTTCTGAGTGAAGCCCCCACTGCTGTTTGGGACAATCACAACCAAAGGTAAGTAAAACCTGAATTTTAAAAATATTGTTCATCGGTTGTCATATTATGGAGCTTAACTAAAGGCCATCTAACCCATATATACTGGGCAGTAAAGATTTTAACAATCTTTTGTAACCTTGGCCATATCCAGAGACAGTGGCCCTTTAGATCCTGAACTGAATTTTATGATGGATGCTTTAAACAAGGGGAGAATGAGGGCATATTACTGAGGCTGATATGTTTTGTTTTATAGAGATTTGGTCCTCTTGGCTGTGGCAGCCTAGGAAATTATTTTCTTCTTTTGAAATGCTAGATTTTCCTAAGGGAAGCAGTCCCTTTTATAGTGTAGAGAGGAGAGTTAGATGGTGATGGGGAACTTGGTGATGTGAGTGGTCTGGGGACCAGCACAGATGATACTCTTATGCTGTTTTCCAAACGGTGGAAAAGGATTACTTTAGTGGTGTATAAACATTGAAAAATATTATTTAAAGTGAAGGAGAAAAGTATATTTTACATAGAATTTCATATAGTTTATATAGTGATAGTCATGATTTACTTAAACTATGATTTTAAAATGCTAAACATTGAAGAAATAATCCTGTTCAAAATTATTATTTCTAATGGTCCATTCGTCATCAGACTTTGGAGAAAATAAAAAAAGAGAGAATGTTATCCACAAAAAATTTAAAATATATTTTATTTATTTCACTGTGAAATGGAGTGCTTTTTTGCTTGTCTTGCTTTCACTCCCTGTAATCTTAGAGACAAATATATGGCCCAAGCCTGGAAAGTATGCAGAACTGGCTACATGAATTTATATAAACATAGACACACATAATCCCTTTGCCTCAATTTTCTGTCTTTTTTTGTAATTTTTATGTTATTTTTATTTTTCTTTGATGTATGGATATTTTTGGGGAAAAAAAGTCATTCTGGTAGAAATGAGATGTGCTTTTTAAATGATAGCTGATACCATCTTAGACTTTTCCATAAGTCCAATGGCCATAAAAAGCCTCTTCTTGGTGGGGTGAACAGTGCTGGGGTGGACCATGTACAGAGAATGCATCAGGGCATAAGAGAGGCTTGGTGGGAACTTCAAGTCATAAAGTGTCAAAGAGGAAATAATACCTGTAAAAGCAGGGACCACATACCACAGTCAGTGGAGTGTGCACACTTTCAGGAGTACAGAAGGGAAAATGGGTTCCATGAAAAAAAAAAATGCTGGATAAAAATGAAAATTATTTGCTTCATAAGAAGTTTCTTCCAAACCAGCAAGTTCCTAGAAACATAGTAATTTTGTACTTGAAACATATTGAAAACAGTCTGGAGTTCCCCTGGGGGAAAATAGACAAATTCCAGTAAGTAGATAGAAAGGGATAGAAGAGTTAAAAATATGAAGAGTGGAGTGTTTCAGTTTTTTGCAAATAATGCATTTTGTTACCATTTCCTAATCATGTAACCTAAACAGGTTCTAGTTTATGTTTACTGAGGACCTTGTTATCAATGATTGATTGTGTTAGAGTTCCAAGGTCAATATTATTATTTTGAGTATCATTATTCAGGATTATGTCGATGATGCCAAACTAATGGTGAATTTGGAGGTGAAAAAAAAAAGTTCTTGGTAGAAGAACCACAAAGATAATATACAGCACTATCACCATAGTTAATAATAATAATATAATAATAATATATATTTGAAGATTGCTAAGAGAGTAAATCTTAAAAGTTCTCATCAGGAGAAAAAAATTGTAACCGTGGGGGGTGATGACTATTAACTAGTTTTATTGTGGTGATCATTTTGCAGTATATACCAATATTGAATCATTATGTTGTACACCTGAAACTAATACAACGTGATATGACAGTTATATCATAATAAATGTTTTTTAAAAAGAACTACAAAGATCCAGAAAATACAGGGATTGAGTTTAAATAGTACTGTAATAGTATCCGAAAAATTACTGTAGTTGAGGGCTTCTCTGGTGGTGCAGTGGTTGAGAGTCCGTCTGCAGATGCAGGGGACACAGGTTCGTGCTTCGGTCTGGGAAGATCCCACATGCCGTGGAGCGGCTGGGCCTGTGAGCCATGGCCGCTGAGCCTGCGCATCCGGAGACTGTGCTCCGCAACGGGAGAGGCCACAACAGTGAAGGCCCCCGGAACAAAAAAAAAAAAAAAAAAAAAATTACTGTAGTTGAGTATATTTGCAAATATGTGGACTTTATAATATTCGACATTGAATGAGTCCAATAATAATTGTGTTGTATGTACTCTAAGAACACAACCATAGAACTTTAAAAAGAAAATTTTAGGGTAAAAAATGAAAAACTTAATTTAAAAAGAGCTTTTCATTATAAAGCTTCAAGAACGATGTGGTATGTTAGGATAACAAAAATGTGGACAGAACTCAATTCATTGTGTGGTGCACTATTTAAGAAGTCTAAGAAATAAGAAAATAAAATTCATTTTTGAAGAAAATATAGACCTTATTTCATATTTAATATTTTAAAATGGATAATGGTGGCATCACGATAATAGAAAATTGATATCTTTGGAATACTTATTAATATAAATGAAAACTGAGTGAACTAAATGTAAATGAAATATTATTATGATAGCCATGCTTTAAATACTGTGTGTCTTACAAAAGTATTTTATTGCTATGAGATTAATTTTATATTTTTTCAACAGTGGAAAACCTGGTTGATGTGTACTAAAATTTAGATTGGTAGTTGTGATAAGGGGAGAACAGTATATAGAGAAATCATTATGTGATCACTATGCCTTTAAGAACACTGGGAGAATTTGAAAGTGATCTCTTTCAAAAGAACCAATGAAGGAGCTTCCTTTAGGGAGAGGCGGTCAGCTCTATTTAAAACAAAGCAGAACAACGAAGCATTTTTAGACTCCTAACACCACTCCTCCTTTTCATAGTTTGGTTTGCCCTCTTACAAAGTAACACCCTGGCATCCACATTAGAATTGAAACTGACAAGGCAACCCTTTTATCCCTGGCTTCCAAAACTCCTTATTAATAATAATTAGCCATTCCTGGCTTCTATTCAAGAGAGTTTAATATATACCAGAATGGCTTCTGGGCCTCAGCTGCATTTCTTACTTTAGCTAAGGAATGATGGTGCTGGGAGAGGGAACACCACTCTATGCTGAAAGAGATTTGCTGAATAGCATCAGTGCAGCAAAATGACTACTCAGTTGTCTGTTAATGAATAACCATTATTTAAATATATATTTTATGTTAGTATATGTGTAGAAATGTTCATTCAAACAGGTCATATTTAGCATAATAAATTTATTTCTATATCTACCTTAGAAAATGTGTGGCATATAGCCTGTAGCATTTGATAATCACTTTAAAAGTAATTATTTTTATACATTTCATACGTGTGCTTTCCTAGGAAATGTAACTGCCTTTGATTTCCAGGTAAATGTGATTTATAATATTCAATGTCTACGCAATAAAATAATGTGGGTGATATTTAAGATTAGTTATCATGAATGTATTATTTACTTAATGAGTAAATACTTCAGTTTGGTTTGTAATGTTACTTATTTTAATTTTTACAGAGCATATAACTGAATGCCTTGATAAGAGTAGATATTGTCATATTTATTAGAAGAAATGTGGTGGGATAGGGAGTTTCTTTTCCAAACTTCTGGTTTGGAGGAAGGCATTTCTATTCCACTCTTTTAGGGAAAGAAAAGGTAGGAGCATAATTATTTTATTTTCTCTCATCTTTCACTCTTCAAGGCAGAAAGGAATGACATCTGATTGGTAAAAAATGGAGGGAGGGACTGAGCAGGCATGGATTTTTGTTTTCAAGAGTGGCCTGTTTCCAGGATTCATTCACTCTCTGTGTCCTAGGGCAGGCTCTGCCCCTGACAGGAGGGTGGCGCCACAGACTACTGGATAAATCTGGCTTATTCAGAGGTGAGGGGTTAGGGTCTCACATACAGCCACTGATCCAAGCAAATATCTTTACCTCCATGTCACTATCTCCTGAGTCTTATTTTACAACTCTTCAAAAAGCTGTGGAGAAAGAGTCAGACCTGTTTACTTACTCTAAAACTCTGATCCAGTTGCTCTGTGGTGGATATAAACACATGGCATATGTGTGAGTCTTATTATCCTTTGCAGTTTCTGAGCCTATTTTCCTAACCTGAAATAAATATAGCTGAAGTTTCGGCCCTTGTTTCAAGGCCTCAATCCCTGAATAGTCCTCTTCTGCCAGCAATGAAGTGTTTGAGAGTTTGTTTCATGAAATCTTATTAAAGGATACTAAGAGTGAAGAAGATAACCTCACTAAATAACCAGTGTTACCTGCCCAGTTTCTGACTTGGGATTTCACTTTGATGAAACTTGTATGAATCTTGACTAGAAGGTGAACTTTCTCCCTGAATTTCCCAAGAAAATGATTTCACAGATCATTAGGGGAATTTAACCCTAACTTGGAAACTTATTTTCAGAACGTAGGTATTATTAAACCCCTAACAAATTTTCTTTGATTTCTAATTAAAAGTTAACTTTTATTAACATGTACTTATCTAACAATTAGAGTAAAAATCATCACTTTGGATATTGACCACAAATTAACACACTACAGTCAGGAATTCAGAACATTTATTGCAAGAGCTGAATAATTGTAAATAACTTAGAACTGGCAAAGCAGTAACAAGGATAATTGTTTAGATATTTATTGTGTCAAAGTCATCAAACACCCCTCACAAACTGACAAATATGTACTGCAATAAGCTATGCACTCCTACCCATTATTTTCCATTATACTGTGGAAAAATGTGAATTTCTATTTACAAAGTAATTTTATTTTTGGTAAGAACAAATTATCTATCAGATCAGCAAACCATTTTTTTACTTTTTTTTTTACTTTTAAACTGATGTTGAACGGTGGCATTAAGATAACTTTCACTTCTTTCAATAAAGACATTTTGTTGCATGCTATTTATTTGTTTAAATCATCTGTCATGCCTTAACAAAAACCTCCTAAGAATGCTCGAATTTGGATTTGTTTGCACGTGCAACTGAGATCTTATTAACATTAGCTGTCACTCTGTTGGTTTGACCTAAGTGACAAGATGCTGGTACCTGTCGGCACTGACCAACTATGATAACAAACAGTTAAACAGCAATAATTAGAGATCTATCCCTTAATTTCCCCCAACTAGCCTACCTGGAGAATGTTCTGTTACATCATGAAGGCACAACACATTAAATAGTTTGTGACTATGGTCTAACACTTGTGTTACAACAACATTATTGTATATGAGGATCAACACAAACTGCCATTTCCACAAAGTTGTAGACACACATTTTCCCAATTGAAACTATTTTGAATAGTAATTTTTCTTCAATATATGCTAATTTAATACATAAGTTTTGCATGAGTGACAAGCACAGGATATATCACTTTCTGAAGGATAACACTTTCCCATTACTATGCTATTAAATAAGTGATTTTGCTTTTGCCTACTTTGAAAATAAGGATGTCGAGAAAATAGGTTCTGAATTTCCAAGCTTTTGCAGAAGTCCTTTTTTTATATAAAGTTTTCATTTTTTATCTTTATTTCTTATAGAATTCCAGCATCATAAGCTATCATAAAAGAAGCGAGATTCCAGAACCTTTATTTTCACTACAAGTATCTGAGATCTTTTGAACAATGTGTGTCAAGACAGACTCAGAAACACTTCACTAAAAGAAACAACAAAAATAGCAACAAAGAGGCAAACAGAAAAAGAAAAGAAGCAACCATAAAACACAGAATTATGCTACAACGTTTTTTAGATGAACGGTATAAGTACACAAAAGTTGTTAATAATAGCTTGCTTCTATTTACAAATACTTTAACACTGATTGACTTACAAGTGTCCACTAACGTTGTTAACAGCACAATAGGTTTAATGCTTATCTTTTTAAATTTCGTTTGAAGTATAATGTCAAGTATAGCAGTCCCAGCACAGATCAACAAAAAAAAGAGCACAATTTTCTAACTGGATATGTTTGTCAGTCACTCTAATCCATGGAACTTTCTTACTCTCCAAATGCATATTCTATTGTTCATAGCAGCAGTCCAGGGTCAAAATAAAATGCAGTTAAAAAAAAAAAAAGTATATTTGCACAATGGAGGGACCTCTGGAGAGTTTAATCAATACTAGTAAACAAGATCACATGGCTAGTAGAACTATCTTCTCTCTCTTATGTGGTAAAACACTGTATCCTCCATGGTGCTAACACAAAGTTATGGATATCCCTGCTATAAGGGGCATAGTTGTAGAGATCTATTGAATACATAAAGCTCTGACACACACGGTATTAACATATCTATTTAGTTTAAAGTTATTAGGTCCCATATAGCCTTTTTCTTTTTAGAGTTGGTGCTCCTTAGGACTCTCAATAGCACCTCCTGCTTGCTTATAAGACTTCAGATTTGCCAGAGGAATGTCTGTCGTGTGGCTGCCATTGTTGAAATGGCCTTCGGTGGAACCATACTGCTTACGGTCATTGAACTGGTTCCTGTTGCTATCTTCTTTCCAGGCTCTGGTCAGGGTGTGCCCATTCACAAGCTTGTCCTTCTTGACCCATTCTTTCTGGGGTGCAAATGTTGAGAGAGGTGATTTAGGGTGTTGATAGGGACCCAAGCCAGGAGGCATCCAGCAGTTATCAGAGTGACCCAAAACCAAGCACTCTTGAGTGCACATCTCTGTAGCTTCAGCTAATCCTCGGGGGCCCAGAGGCCCATCTGCAGAGGACAAGAGACAAAATAAGGAAAGAAAGTGGTTAGAGTTTTCATTTAAAATTATCTCCTTAGAGAAAAAGTGCATTGGTAATCTCATTTGCTCATGAAAATTGTATTAAGGTAAACAAATCAAAGATATGATTCCCCATCCTTTTAAGAATAACATAGGAGGAATAAAATTCCTTTTACTTGAGGTGAGAATTATCTCTTTTCCTTAAACCTTCATTTATATCTAGAGATACAGACAGATAGAAAAATAAATAGACAGACATGAGTAAACAGATATACCCATGACATATCATTTCTGATGAACTTTTTCCATGACATATGTATTATTACTGATTTATGTCCTACTTCTCCACAAAAAAACTCATATTCACGAGAAATAGTGAAAAGTATAAAAATTTTATGTGCAATGTTGAAATATATGCTAACATATCAACTCTTTGAATATAAAAAGTATTACTTGAAATATAACATTAAAAATAAATACTGTAGGGCTTCCCTGGTGGCGCAGTGGTTGAGAGTCCGCCTGCCGATGCAGGGGACACGGGTTCGTGCCCCGGTTCGGGAAGATCCCACATGCCGCGGAGTGTCTGGGCCCGTGAGCCATGGCCGCTGAGCCTGCGCGTCCGGAGCCTGTGCTCCGCAACAGGAGAGGCCACAACGGTGAGAGGCCCACGTACCGCCAAAAAAAAAAAAAAAAAAAAAAAATACTGTAAAGGTTATACAAAACGTTTTTCTATATAAACGTGTGTTTTTAGCATGAAATCCCATGAAAATAACTTTGCAACATTTTAGAAAGTTAAATAATAATTTTAAAGAATGTTTTAACTAAAGTATATTACTAAAGATACACCTGGTTGACTGGTTGACATTGTGAAATCCCAGTAAATAAAGACACCATTTGCATCCAAAGACAACATGTGGTTCCTTCCAAGCTTAACCTATTTTCTTGATTTCTTAACCCAAATTTCACTAATGTGAAAGTCTAGCTAAGTTGCAAATTGGGTCACATGGAGTCTAATATTCAAAGGGAAAATAAGTCATCATAGATATTTCTCTTTTATTTATTTATTTTTTTACCAGCAGGCAATCTAAAACATTTTAACCATGATTTTGAAAGTAAACTCTTCTCTGATTACGTAAAAAGGACATCAGTTCTTTACTGATAAACAACAAGTGTCAAGTGGTTAAGGGAAAGGTTTTTTTTGTTGTCATTGTTTTTTTTTTTCCCTTGATTAAACAGTCAAATGATAAGTGGTAGCTTGAAAATTAGGAATTGATTTTACGAATGAGGTTAAGTGGATAGGCAAGAACGCTTGAGGCATAAAGCATTTTCAAAAATAGAGAGTCGTCAGAATAAAAGTGTAGAGAAAAATGAAGAAAACATCCCTGAAACTTTTTCTACTTAACTATTAAAAGAGCCAACAATTGGAATGTAGGTCTTTGCTAAAGTCCAAGTTAGCACTACTAATATTTTTAAGTGCCCAATAATTGTGGGGTTTTTATATTAACATCTATTTTTCTTAATAATATTCTAGTTACTTCTTACATGTTAAAAAAGAAATACCTGCTGAGATAGGTAAGAGTTGGTGGCAAATAACTGAGACCTCAACACACAGACAACATTAAAACGGACACTGGATGTGAAAAAAATATATGCCTAAAATGTACTCTTACATACAAATGGAAATTTTAGTCATTTTTGAAATCTAAAATCTGCTCTTTAGAATAACCTTAAAATTCCTTCTCATCTGATCCATAGTATCATCCCCTCAAGAGCAAATAGTTTTATCGTTTTAAACATACGTTCATTACTTAAAACTATTTCTCTCACAAACCTCGAATGATTACTTACTTCCTAGGGTATTTAATTTAATCTTCTCTATAAGCCTTTCTCTGTCCTCTGAATTCTGCCCACATTTTAAAAGTTCAAACTAATTTCTCCCTTTTAGTTTCGCTTTGGTGTGTTCAGTGACTCTGTATCCACAAAGTTAACACATTTTGCTCAAACCAATCAATGCCCCTTACATCAGGATTGCAGGCCTGGAAGATGCTTTTTGCCTGGCTTGTTTTCATTTAATTACTGATTCTTTCCAGGGGCAGCTTGCTTCCCAGGTACCACAGCAAGCTTCCCTAACTATGCCAATTCATGTTTTACATGCACCTGGAAGATTTCCACAGATCTTCCCTTATTAATGAATAATGAATTTCCTAATTGAGCTCACTCACTCAACTCTTACTTTAATGATATTTTTGTCTTTTGGGGGACAAAAGACAAAAATGTCATTCATTAGTATACATTTTTGTTTTCTCTCAACTAGATTTAAAATCCATTGATGGAAAAAAACAACTTATTAGCCTTCTGATTCCTCATAGTGCTTAGCAATAGCAATGATCTAAGAACAATGTTAATTGTTAATTAAAATTTTATGATGTTGAAGATGTTCTGAGAAATTATTAAAGATATCCTCTGCTTGGGCTTCCCTGGTGGCACAATGGTTCAGAGTCCGCCTGCTGATGCAGGGGACACGGGTTCGTGCCCTGGTCCGGGAAGATCCCACATACCGCGGAGCGGCTGGGCCCGTGAGCCATGGCCACTGAGCCTGCGCGCCCGGAGCCTGTGCTCTGCAATGAGAGAGGCCAGAAGAGTGACAAGCCCGCATACCGCAAAAAAAAAAAAAAAAAAAAAAAATCCTCTGCTTAAAAGGCAGACCTTAAGTAATTAGAAGATTCTGATTTCACAAACATCATACCAAAAGCTTCCTCAACAACAAATCTCTTTGCCTTAGCAATACTTTGTGATAGTTAATAAATGAATTATTTAACTTCTCTGCTAAATATGTTTTAGCATATTTAGCAGAGATATATTAGAAATCTGGGACTTCTCTGGTGGTTCAGTGGTTAAGAATCCACCTCCCAATACAGGGAACATGGGTTAGATCCCTGGTCAGGGAGCTAAGATCCCACATGCCATAGGGCAACTAAGCCTGCACACCGCAACTACTGAGCCTGTGCGCCACAACTAGAGAGCCCACATGCCGCAACTAAGACCCGATGCAGCCAAAGATAAAATAAAAAACTCAATATTAAAAAAAAAGTTCACTCCTTTCTTGCCATCAACAGAGATAATCACCAATTTGATGTATAATATATATTGAGGCCTGTAAATCAATCCTTAATTTTTACTTTTCCAGAATCAGTAATAAGTTTTTCTTTTCCTGTTAATATCCCCAAAGTAAAAAATAAATTATCAGCTACCTTAGAAATATTAATAGCATCAGGTTTTTATTGAGTACATAAAAAAGAGAGAATATGCAAGATTATTTTTTAAATAGTCTTATCCAATATACATTGCCATCTTATTAAATCAAGAATATTACCCAAGAATTGAGAACACTAGGGGTGTGTGTGTGTGTGTGTGTGTGCGTGTGTGTCTGTGTGTGTCATAAGTATATGTGGACCCTAAGTCTTCAGCATTTAATGACACACTTTAACAAATAGAGTATATTGTTTTTCAGAACTGATAACATTTATTTATTCTATAAATATTTACTGAGTATTTACTATATGCTGACACTGTGACAGGCACCAGGAATATAGCAGTGAACAAAGCAGATGTCAACACTATCCTCATGGAGCTTTGGGTCTATCCTGGGAAACAAATAATTGCCTTAAAAGCAGTGAGCTAAGAGAGGAGAAAAATGTGTCATTGGGAAGGAGGTAGGGTTTAGGGAGGCTTATCCCTTTAAAGGCAACAGAGGGACTTTGTTCCAAGTTCCATTTCTACATTTTTCTGAAAGTTCTTACAGACAACTGACAATTTAAGACACTTACAGTTAAAATTTGTGTGTACTGTACAAAATATTTAACTTGCAAAAAATTGTTTTTCCATTAGATAATATTAATTGCTCTTTGAAAATTTTACTCATGATTCATTCTTGTAAATAAATTTGAAGGCTTTTAATAAAGTCTATAAATAAATTTACAGAAGTTTTGTGGATTCTTAGGTCAGTCTTTTAGGTAGCTGATTGTTATATAAAATTTAAAGATCCATCGAAAAGTGCAACACAACACAATGATGGCACGTGCATGAGGGCCAGTTTTTGTTACTTATAGCCCTAAAGGAGAAAAGGCCACCAGGCAGGGGCACATAGACGGTTGTACCAAGAACAGGGTAACAATAAGCTGGAATTGTAGGGGGCAGTGTATGTATGGCCAAGCATGGTGGAGGTAGCTAGGTTTCCAGGGCACTTTGTGGATTGACTGATTAGGAAAATTTCTCAGGCTCTAGGGCACAGAGCCTGTCTCAAGATATCTGGTACCTTAACTGTGGAGCAATTAGGGTGGGTGCATAATGACCTAGAAGTGTGAGAGCTCTAGAAGGGAAATGGTGGGATGTGGGTTTACTGAAGAAAGGAAACTGACCAGCTAGTAGCCAAGGCCACAGAACTGAGTCAAGTCAGCAAAAAAAAAAAAAAAAAAAGGAATAAAAGAAAGAAAAAGGAAAAAATATATATACTAAACTACATTATAACAATTTGCTTATGTAATTGAGCTGCATTGCTGGAAAGCTTACTTTGTTTATTCTCTGGCAAGTTTTTATTTTGGGACATGACATTAAATTTTACTCTTTTTATTTGGACCTATATATATTTTCCAGTGGTTGCCCTGAAACACACACACATGCACACACACATGAGTTTTATTTTGGGAAATAACAGTGCTTCCAAGTTTTCTTCCATAAAGCCTGTGTCATGAATTGGTAGAAAGAAAAATGAAACATTTTTATTATGAATTACTAAAGAGAACACAGTCATTCTACTGGTTCCTTGAAAGTCCTGGTCTTTTAAAAGTTTATAATCTGAAGCATCTTAAACATTGAATAGTTTCCAGTTAGTTTTTCTCATTTTTAGAACCACTTTCTGATTTGTTTTATACTTTTTTTTTTTTTTTTTTTTGCTGACTTGACTCAGTTCTGTGGCCTTG